CCATATGTTTTGTCTTTTGTGTATGTGGTGAGTAACGATCCTTAGGGCCACTGCACGTATTCCTGAGAAAAGGAAAACTTGAAAACAAAAGAAATAGTGACCCATAACTGAGAATCCGAGATGCACATCCCTGAATTCGAATCCAGAGTATATATTCTCTACTCACGCTGGTGACTGGAAGTTTGAAGTTCTCCTCTGCTACACGTAGGGTCCTAGCTAATTCGCTGTAAGGGCCCTTCGAAAAAGAGGCTGGACACAATTAGGAAATGAATACTCGCATGTATAGACGAGTGCCAACAGTTTCGGGGTATCGCGTGGCCCGAACTTTTCTCCCTCTTGCTTTCTAATTTTTAGAAGTGAGGGGAGTGCTTGGCCACCCCACTCTGAACTTTAATTTTTTAATTTTTAATTTTTAATTTTTTATGCGCCGCATCACGTGGGGCGCATCTCATGCGCGTGCGCTTTGCGCCGCATGTGCCGCGCCCCCGCGCATGAGATGCGCCGCAAGTAGGAAAGAAGGGACATCATAAATACCATCAAGGGGCAACGTGAAGGAAAAGTAAAACGGGGACAAAAAAAAGAGACATTACCAACAACATTACATTTCCAGAGGGGATTGAAAAAGAAGAAGGAACGACAAGGGATAAATAAAAAATGGCAATATCATACTCAGCAGCAGCTCAGAGGGCAATGAGTGAGAAAGAGAAGCAGGGCTTCAGTCAAAGGAGGGAGGGGATGTCAAGGAATCAATCATCTCAGTCGGCATCTCAAACAGGGACAAATATAAAAGTGGGGGAATCCAGACCTCGCACGTTGGAGCAAAAGGCAATGGAATTTTTGCTTGAGAAAACGCAAATTAAAGCAGACATCAAAGTGAGGAAGGAGGTAATCAAGGGGGAAGGAGGGAAGGAGGAAGAGGTGGAAATGTGGGAATACCCGGAGGAGGATATACAGTCACTAAATGAATTACATGAGAAGCGCGCGGTACTCTTCAACTTCTCGGGAAGAAGTTGAGACCTGTCTCTTAATGAGAAGAGAAGATGGGTAATGGATAGGCTACGGGCAATGGAAAGCATTCCGGGAAGGGAGCCTGAAGTCTTGTACTACAAGAGGGGAAGGTTTGGAGTAATGATTGTCTGTGTGGACCCAACATATGCCCAGTATCTACTATCGATTGGATCGTTGAAATGCAAGGGGGCAGTGGTCACCATCCAGTCGTGGAAACCACCAATGCCCCCATAGGCTGAGGCGTCGAGGCATAGGCAATTAATGATGAGAAACCACTTTTGGGTTCAATTCGATAATCTCTCGGAGGGGATGCATAGCTTCATTCAGAAGAGGCTGGAAGAGGAATTCCCCAATAATCCAATCATTGATTGGCTCCCAGCAAACCCGAATTTCCTCGCACCAAACCATGACTCTCGGGTGGCGTGTCTGAAGGTTAAATCGGGGGCCCCGCCGAAGTTCCCAGACCAATGGATAAAAGTGGGCAGAGGAATACTGTGTTTATATCTTCCAAAACTAATCCCTTCTGCTTTAAGTGGAGGGGAAGGGGGCATTTGGGGTTTTTCTGTCCGCAGGGGGCGGGAGGGGGGAAGCAGACTCCGCTGTGCCAGTCGATGCTACAAGAATGCGATAGTAAACCAGGGGTGTGGTATATTAATTCACCGCAATATAGGGGGTAGATATTCGATAATAACTTGGACAACCCCAAATGGGCGTGGGTGTTAAAGAAGGATCCGACGGTCAAACCAGACATATACCCCCATTATGACAGCAGATGGAGACAGACTGGAGCAAAGAGAATGGAAGATAAGGAAACGGGGTATATTACGAAACCAATGTTGGATGACTCAATCATGCAAGATGTACGGCAAAGGCTAAAGCTCATGAACGACCTCCACGCAGTTGGGAAAAACGTTGAAAGGGTTTTTCTGGAAAATTTTGCAGCCAGGTCACAGTGACAGGAACAGCAGGAGGGAAATGAGGAGGTCACGGGGGAAACAGGGGAAGAATAGGGGAAAAACATGGAGTGTGGAGAGGAGGGGGAGGGCACAAGTGGAGGTAGCCAACCTTTGAAAAGGAAGGAGTCGTCGGTGGCAAAGGATGGGTCAGAGAATCAGGAGGGGGGGACACAGCAAGCAAAAAGACAGCACAAGGGTACATCAACAAACGGCAACTCAGCAGCAGAGGCACAGGAGGGGACCGAGCACGACACAGCGATGTCGAGAAGCACAATTCAAGAAGGGGAGGACAAGGGAGTTACTCAGGAACCACCAACAAATCAGAATCTGATAAGGAAGGAGAAGAAGGAAGGAGAAGAAGGAAGGAGACTGATGCGTAATGTGGGGAACATGACGGAAGAGGAAATACGGCAGGCGGAGGAAGATCAGAGGGATTGCTCAGAGGATATGGATTCTGAAGATTCATCAGAAGAAGATGAGGAACAGGAAAGGTCAGAAGAGGAGGAAATGTCCCTAGAATAGTGGATTCAGGAAGTGGAACAGTTAGAATGGGGGCTAGCTCATCACAAGCATTTGAGAAAACTCAAACAGGCAACACAGGTGGCAGAGGACATCACCTCAGATAATAGATTTGAGTTACTGAGGAGGGAAGGGGAAATCAACGAATTTTACGCAGCTCAGTATGCAACGAAAGCTCGCCCAGTCAAGAATGACATCCACATCCAGCAGGACGAGTACGCAAAGATATTCCAATGGCCAAATACATATCATAGTAAGGACGGCAAGAGAGAAAATAAGAAAAGAAAAGCACATAAGGAAGAGGAACAAGGATGTAGAGTGGCTCAAGGGGAGGATTCGCAGGATGGCCTGATAAAGAGAGCAGAACAGAAGCCGGAGGAGAAAGTGGAGGAAGAAAAACAGGAATTGAGGAGACAAGCTGAGATATTGGTGGCCCAGGTTAATGTTTTTAAGGATGAGAATAGGGAATTAGAGGAGGATACTGTGAATTTGCATAAAATTGCAAATGGTCAGTTGAGAGAAATAGAAGCAGCAGCAAGACTGGAGGCCAAAAATGGGATGAAGAGGAGAGTCATTTTGCCCTGTCGCTGGAACGAAAAACACTTAGACTGTGAGGTGGCAATTCACCGGTCCCTTCAATTGGTGACTGCACCGGTCAGTGCCTGTGAGGGAAGGGATCTGCGGAATCTGATTGGGGAGGGAGTGCCATCTCGAGCATATGTGTTGGGGGATAGGAAGGAAGACTCTATGGAATTAGGGGAGGTGGGAGGAGAGGAATCAGCAGCGGACTACAGACCGTTGCTCCTACACATGCAGGCCAAGGCTGAACTCAGGGAGGGACTGATTTGGATGCCTTGGCAGGTAGTGGAAACCATTTCCTATGGGTTGTTGGGAGGCGATGTCACATCAGAATGGGTAGCTCGGTGCGCTGCAGTAGCGGTCAAAGTTGACGCTTTCGCTTGGAAACCGGAATTCCTTGAAAAGAGAATATCGATGGTATCCACGATAGTGGAAACTACCTCGCA